TGTGTGCATACATATTTGCGTTAAATGCAGTACATGTGCACGTGGAATCAATTTGTAAAAGTGTAAACTACGTAAACGTATGTACATAAACAATAAAACTTTCTCATGAATACCATAAATTCATTGGTCTTGAAGGGAATGTACTAAGAAAATATATGAGCGAATTAAAAAGTGTATACAATTTATAGCCGAAAAGTACATTTTTTGTATAGATTTCGTACTGAAGGAACAATTTAATTTCCCCAACACTGATACAGAATGTAAACAAACACAGGGTTGCAAGGAAAAAAAGTTGAACGAGCTCAAAGTTGGCTGGCGACCAACTTTGTTGAAAGCGATTAGTTGAAAGGCCGTTCGGACGAGGCGATTTTTGCTTTCAACTAAAAGTTGCCTGAAAAATCGCCTCGTGCGAAAGCCCTATAACAGAACGGGCTTTAGTACAAATGCAAAAATTTGGCACAAAACCTGTTATTTTTTAAATATTTCTTCTGTTAAAGTTTGATTTTTTTCATTAAGAAATAAAAAAAAGCTGGAATAATTAATTAATTTGTCAGAAACTATAAGCCCTATCGGAAAGTGATGTATATACGGTTTATGGAGAATTTTGTTGGCTTTCATTTGACGTATTTTATATTAAGATTTTTAAATTGGTTCGTAAGATATACGTGATTAAAAGGAACCAATTTTTTCTTTAAGCTGAATAACGGTAAATTGCAAATATCTCGAAAACGTATCCATAGAAAAAAAAATAACTCGATTTTCGGAATCACCGAGCAATTCTACATAGGGTAGTGGCGTCTGGAGAACAAAAACCAAATTAAAATTTGTTATCCAGTGTTATTAACAATAAAAAAATAAAACATAAGTTACCAGCAGCATCATTTTGAGTTTTACTGCTATTACTTGAATTTTACTGCTGGTACTGTTTTTTTTTTTAATTCTAAGGTGAATAACCGTAAATGGAAAATATATCGAAAACTTATCCATAGAATAAAAAATTAACTCGATTTTCGGAATCAGCGGGCGATTCTTCTTAGGGAGGGGGTGGGGGTATCGTAGAACAAAAAAACTCTAATTTGTAATTTTAGTTTTCTTCCGGTTCAAAATGGGTCAGTTCATACTACATCTGCATTACTGCAAAAAAAAACAGTCACTTTTATGAAAATGTCCAGCTTGCGTAAACGCGGCTAGTTGAAAAAATATGTATGCTTGTAATACATAAATTGTTTGTGTATCTCTCGACCTTGATTCATTTAGTTATTTGCATGATTGTCGTTAGATTTTATGCTTAAGCTAAGTTTTAAGAACGAAAAAGTAGAGCGTGGCGGTGACGGGTTCATCGAAAACCTAAACAAAAGGCATTTTTATGAACTATAGATTATGAATAAAAGAGTATAATGCTATGACGTAATATTGCGGGTTGCATTTACGAACTGACCAAATGTACACATATTTGGCCTTACATTTTTCTCTCATACATCCTCACTAGGTGAACATTTCGTTGCGAATGGCGGTCAGAGAATCCGTAATTTGTCCGATACTTGCCCAAAAATTAAAACAACAGACCTACGTATAATGAATGAATAGTCACAATTCAAATCGTTTATAATTCAGAATAATATTTTTTTATTTACTTTCTTTTGAAATCGACAATATGTATGCAAGTATTTAAAACGAGAAGTTAAGGAAGCGCTTTAAGGGTTTTAAACTCTTTCGCATATATATTTTTTGCTTTGAATGACTTAAATTCATTAAAATTTACATAAAAATTGTAACTTTTGCATTAATAGTTTTACTTTCATAAAAATTTGCATTTTAACATAATTAAATGGACAACAAGTAAAGAAGTTTTTAACTTCCGTACAAAAATAATATAAACTAAATTAAATAGCGCGCTTTGTTCTTAAATACAATATATGTATATATAGCATATAAACGCCAGTAACAAATCTCTTAAGTTTATATATATATATATATAAAACAGCAAATGTGGCAATAAACAAAACATGTAGTACTGTATTTATGCATGCATATTTGTATGTATAACATCGGAGTTTGACCTACATACAACATAAATTTATCATCGTATGTATGAACTATTATGTAGGCTACACGTGACCGATAATAACGTTTTGTTTGCACCGGTGCAACGATAAGTACGAATTATACATAATAGGGGATACATACAATACTACCACACTGTTTTTTTTTTAATTTTGCTCTTGCTTTTTATGTTTCATATCGCCTTAAGTACATTAGGTATTATTTGGCGTACGTCCCGATGTACGTACTGAGGTATAATTTTCGAACATCATTACATACATACGATTTTCGTCCAGCCACCCATCCAGTTAGTTTTATTCGGTAAAATTTTGTTTTCTTGCTTCATTATCTTCACTTTTACACGAACGTATTACTGTTTGAACCTATGACAAATACATTTAGTACAGACATAAGCCAATGTGGCATTTATATTTATTTTTAAATTATTTTATTTTATTTATTTTTTGGTAGTCGAACTACTTTACGAATATACAATTCCAATCGTGATTTTGCAGTGTGCCTCAAACGGAGAACAAACCCATTCTCAAACAAAAGGGAAAATTTTTGGTATGCAAAATAATCAGCCTGCAAGAGTCGTGTCCAATCCAATTAGTTTTTCGAGAGTCGAATCGTATCGAAAATTTCACGCCATTGCCTAAAATTTCCACTCGACTACTTAGTGTATTAAAACGGAAAAACTTGGCAGCACTGCATAGTTTTCGACGATTTTTGTCGTTTACTTATTTCAGCACGACAGTCGACAATGCAGATGTTTTCGAGTCATACAATTAAGCCTAATTTACGACTTACGCAATGAGGCTGAATTTGAGTTCTGCAAACTTTCTTCAACTTTTAACATAAACCTGTCGACTTTGTTGCTGATTGCTTATGTTTTTTCTTTTGCATGTCAGTCCTGGCAAATACAGAAAACAACGAGGCTGCAAATCTTCACACCTTCCTACACCATATATATACATGTAAGCGTTTAGCTTAATTGACTACTAGAGTTGTAAAAGTAACGAAAATTTGGATACCCGTATGTATTCGTTACTAATCCAATCAACACCCGTATCTTTCGCATAATTACTTTACTCGTTACTTTTGATACAAGCACTTGTACCTCACAAGAATCATCGCAACAAATCTTGAAGCGTAAGGAAATGTTCGTTCGTACATATGCATACATGTACATATATACATATGTACACACGCGACATATACCTTGTTTATACCAATGTAAGAACCGCATTTACAATAAAACGATTTGACTCAACACATATTTCTTTCAAATGTTTATACCTGTGTCTCTATAGCGTCCTCGCTGAAACCGTATTTAAAAGTAAACAAAATTTGTTGTTTTCTTTCCATATTTCTTTAATAATTAATTTAAGCGATTGACCGAAATAGAAGCGAACAATAATTCAAATTTATATAATAATAATAAAAAATTTAAAACGGGCTGTATGAAGAAACCCAGCCTTTTTTCACTTCGCGTCAAATGAGTGATGTGTTTATACCTATTTTCTAACCGATGTGAGAAATAAAACACCGATTTGAAAACAAAGTCGAGTCAATACACTTTTGAATTTCTGAGCGTATTGAAATTTGGTTTATGCTTCCGTTTTGAATCACAGCGAACTGGGTCAAAGCGCTTTATGTGTCGGTATAAACAAGGTAATAGTTTTGTTTCGATTTGAACGATTTGATACAAACAAGCACTTGTACCTCACACGAATCAAGCATGAATATACGTACATATACTACGTTTATACGCATGCATAAGTCGCTTTATTTCATTTCGCCGCGATTCAAAACATATGTATAAACTGAATTTCAATTCGCTTTGAAAGAGCGAAGTGTTTTGGCTCACACTCCATTTCAAATCGGTAGTTTATTTCTCCAGACAGTTAGAAAGAGTGTATAAACACCGCTCTCACTCAAAGCGAATTGGAGATCAGCTGTTCCGCTCAAATTCCAAATAATCGCATCAGTATTTAAAAGCTGATTAATAATAATCGNATGCGCATTCAATTAAGTCGATTATTCTGTGCGTATAAACGTAGTAATACACACGCAACACACTTTAGTATCGATACAACACAGTTTCGTTCCCGCACAATTTGTTGTGTTGTATTGATTCACGTTGATGGTGCATATACGGAACATGCGAGTAACGAGATTATTATGTGATTCGATACTTTGAGTCAGGGGTTGTATTCTTTACTCAGTAACGAATACATACGGTTTGCTACAGCTCTATTGACAACGCTAAAATAAATTTGGAAAAATTGTTCAATGGGCTCGAATCGGCTTTTGTTGTAAATATTAACCAAATCTTCACGAAATGTATTTGTCATAGATATTTTTTTTGTAATTAGGGCCTGTGCCAGACGCTAGTCAAGTTATCTGGAATAGAAATTTTTCACATTTGAGGTCAATAGAATATGGCGATCACAAAGGACTAGTAAAAACTTTGATAGCGAATTTAAACATAAAGCCATAAACAGCAGAATGAAGAAGAGCGCAATGTTCATATACACTTTATATCAAGGGTGCACAACAAGTTTAAAAATGAATATATGCCTCCGCGGGAAAATTTTTGTTTTAAGTATGTATCTAAATCTAGCGCCAGACTATTCTTCCCATTAAATATGTATTTTAAATTTAATTGAATTCCTCTTTATTTGGACAGAAAAGGAATATTACTTGTAAATTGGCTCGGCAGAAAATAAAAATTCTCGCATCATAATAAAAAGTTTTCTCACCACAGAAATTTGTTCTCGTTTGGCACATGCCCTAAATGTATTTTACAATTTACACCATTACATCTTGCGTTTTAAAAAAATATTATCATTTATATCTCCGTTAGTTGAAAAAATATGTATGCATGTAATACATAAATTGTTTGTGTATCTCTCGACATTGTTTCGCATTAATGATTCATTTAGTTATTCGCATGATGATGATCATTAGATTTTATGCTTAAGCTAAGTATTAAAAACGAAAAAGTAGAGGGTGGTGACGACGTGTTCAGCGAAAACCTAAACAAATCTGAACAATCGCTAAAGTTCAAAAGTTGCATAGTAAAGTGCATAGTAAAATTAATTAAGTATAACAAGTATAAGAGTTAATAATCTTGCGGTAGTTGACAACGACCATACTGTTAAGCCATTGCAATTGCTGAATCCGCAGGTAAATGTTTCATTGTAATTAAGTACATATCGCACTTACATACATATGTACAATGTTTTAGGGATGTGGCACTGATAACCGAATCAACATGTAAGTATGCAAATATGTATGTATGTATTAATGGTACGCATTATATTGCTCGTGGTAAAAATGTTGACGGTGGTAAACGGCGTGGCGGTTGCGTGCTGTGTTTTAATACGTTGCGATACTTAGAACCAAAAAAACAAGGATGGTTGAATGGTTTTGCTAGTTTTCTACTCTTATGCACATGTAAACTTTTGGGTTACCAGCGTTGGATGTTAAGTTGGTTGTTGTTGGTTGTTATTTGTTGTTAGCAGTATCGCTAGGCTTAGGCAAAAGTGGTGTGGTAGCGACGTTTTCGCGTTCGCCATTGTGATCGGATTGATCGTTTACTGGATCTGATGTAATTTGGCTACTTAAAGAGCCCACATCCAAAACTTCACCACTACTACTGCTGTGCAAATTGTGCGGAGGCGGCGCGTTGCTATGGCTCTGTAATGAAATGTCCTTCTCGACAGGAGAGAAATAAGTTTTCGAGTATTAGAAAATATGTAATGAATAAAACTATATATATTGCTAAGCATTGCAAATACTAACATTTAATGATGGTGAAGCCGTATTACTACCGGTTACAACAGATGTCTTATGATTGCTGCGCGCCCTTATTTCATCTTCGTTCACAGAGTGTAATAACTGCAGCGAAAAAAGTTTAATTAAAATATGTTTATGTACATCAATTAAAAAATAACAAAGTGGTTGTATTATTTAACGAAATAAAACTAGATAATTTATATTTGTCTTGACTATTCTATGCGATACATTTCATTTATAGATTATGTTTGCGTATTTGACTGAACGTTTCGCACTTCATCTGCTGTTGGTCTATTTTATGAAAATCATTAGTTGTGTTTTTTTACAAATTATCCAGTAACTTGCCAGTAACTCTCCAGTAACTTTATTTTTAAGAATTCGCTCTCATAGAAAAAATTTGCAAAAAAGTACGTTAACGCTATTCCAGTAATAATTTGCAAGTTTCATGAATAGCTGATAAATTGGTTGTTTATTCGCAGCAAATTCCTAATCAAACAATATATTTTATATTTAAACAAGTTTATTTTGTGAAACTCAACAATAAAAACCCACAAACAGTTTCCTTCTTCTTCTTTATTGTAACGGCCTAAGCGATTTTGGCAGAGTCCAAAACAGCACGGCAGGAATTTCTCTTCTGTGCTAACTGACACCAATTGGAAATGCCAAGTGAAGCCAAGTCCTTCTCCACCTGGTCTTTCCAACCCAGCGGAGGCCTTCCTCTTCCTCTGTTACCAGGATCGCGGCCCGCGTTGAATATTTTCAGAGCAGGAGCGTTTCTGTCCATTCGAACGACATGGCCAAGCCAGCGGAGCCGCTGAATTTTAATTCGCTGCACTATGTCTATATCGTTGTAAAGCTCATACAGCTCATCGTTAAATCGTCTGCGATATTCGCCATCACCAACGCGTAAAGGTCCGTAAATCTTTCGCAGAATCTTTCTCNATTAGAAAATATGTAATGAATAAAACTATATATATTGCTAAGCATTGCAAATACTAACATTTAATGATGGTGAAGCCGTATTACTACCGGTTACAACAGATGTCTTATGATTGCTGCGCGCCCTTATTTCATCTTCGTTCACAGAGTGTAATAACTGCAGCGAAAAAAGTTTAATTAAAATATGTTTATGTACATCAATTAAAAAATAACAAAGTGGTTGTATTATTTAACGAAATAAAACTAGATAATTTATATTTGTCTTGACTATTCTATGCGATACATTTCATTTATAGATTATGTTTGCGTATTTGACTGAACGTTTCGCACTTCATCTGCTGTTGGTCTATTTTATGAAAATCATTAGTTGTGTTTTTTTACAAATTATCCAGTAACTTGCCAGTAACTCTCCAGTAACTTTATTTTTAAGAATTCGCTCTCATAGAAAAAATTTGCAAAAAAGTACGTTAACGCTATTCCAGTAATAATTTGCAAGTTTCATGAATAGCTGATAAATTGGTTGTTTATTCGCAGCAAATTCCTAATCAAACAATATATTTTATATTTAAACAAGTTTATTTTGTGAAACTCAACAATAAAAACCCACAAACAGTTTCCTTCTTCTTCTTTATTGTAACGGCCTAAGCGATTTTGGCAGAGTCCAAAACAGCACGGCAGGAATTTCTCTTCTGTGCTAACTGACACCAATTGGAAATGCCAAGTGAAGCCAAGTCCTTCTCCACCTGGTCTTTCCAACGCAGAGGAGGCCTTCCTCTTCCTCTGTTACCAGCATCGCGGCCCGCGTTGAATATTTTCAGAGCAGGAGCGTTTCTGTCCATCCGAACGACATGGCCAAGCCAGCGGAGCCGCTGAATTTTAATTCGCTGCACTATGTCTATATCGTTGTAAAGCTCATACAGCTCATCGTTAAATCGTCTGCGATATTCGCCATCACCAACGCGTAAAGGTCCGTAAATCTTTCGCAGAATCTTTCTCTCGAAAACTCCAAGAGCCGCCTCATCAGATGCTTTCATTGTCCATGCCTCCGCGCCATACACCAACACAGGCATGATGAGTGACTTATAGAGTGTGATCTTTGTACGACGAGAGAGGACTTTACTTCTCAATTGCCTACTCAGCGCAAAGTAGCACTTGTTGGCAAGAGTGATTCTCTGTTGGATTTCAAGGCTGACATTATTATTGGTGTTAATGCTGGTTCCCAAATAAACGAAGTCGTCTACTTTTTCAAACAGTTTCCTTATTAGTTTAAATTTCATCCAGCAACATGCGATCAGCTGTTTTTCGTACTGGCAAATTCTTACAAATAAAAATTTATCCAGTAAAAACTTGCAACCTCAACTGTAATTTTTCGCTCTCTCAATTTCCCCTACTTTGCAAGTTTTTGCGTGCGAAAACGCCAAAACAAAAAAATTCGTAAAAAAAAAATTTTACTGGATTTTACTGGAAATGAGTAAAAAAACGCAACTATTCTTAATCTACACTTACACCATGATTCAATAATACAAGGTTGGATAACCTGACAGTTGTCTCGCTCCCGCATTCTGCCTTAACCTGTGTTGCTTTTTTTATTTATAGCAACTACTATTAAAATACATGGAGAAGTATGGTCTTCGTATGAAAAGTTCAACAGGCAACACTGCCGATATTTTCATCGATTGTTTCTTGGAAATTAAGTTTCTGTGTGTCCGCCGACGTTTGGCTGGTGCAGCCCACTCGGAACTACAACTGCAGCGATTTATTTGTGCAAGTGCAGCGGTTGCATACTTGCAAGTAAGTACAAGGCCCCATAAAAGTGAAGATGCAAATATTAATAAAGATTTTTTTTTGTGTGCAGCCCAGGATCACTGTGTGTTCGTCCGTGGTCGCTGGTGCAGGTCATTTTACAACTGCGTCCAAGTACGAAAAGTGGTATAGAAGAAACAAGGAGGATGCTGTCCGCATCCGAAAATTTACATTTTTGAAAATTCAAATGTAATTCAGTATAAGATGTAATTTTTCAAAGTAACAAATATAATAATTAACGAGACTGATTGGAGAAAAAAGGACAAATCATTACCGAAAAACCAGGGTGGGCAAAAACTCGGAGTTCGAGCGAGCGAGCGAGCAAACTCCTACTCAATGCCTCGCAGACAACGAGGCGCTCGCAGCTCGTACTCGTAGCAGCAATGAGGCGAGGCACGAGAAGTTTGCCTCGCTCGCCAAACGAGCGAGCGCTGCTTGTTTCCTCGCGCTCCTATTAAACGAGCGAGGCTGTTGTGTGTTGCCTCGCTCGCAGTACGAGGCGAGTAGCTGTCTGCATANTTTCTCCATATAGACTGCTGAGTGGAAAATCGACCTATCTCGACAGCCAGTTCGAAAACGCCCTATCTCAAAAAATTTTTCAAGTACGCCCTATTTCAGAATTTGGCTTAAGAACGCCTTATTTCAGAATTCGTTTCAAAAACGCCCTATCTCAGCTGCCGATTAAAAAACACCCTATATCAGCACATTTTCAATAAATTTGAAGTGAAGTGAATACTGAGGTAGGGCGTTCCTCAAACAAATCCTGAGATAGAGTGATTTTCAATAAAATTCTGAAATATGGCGTTTTTGAAAAGTTTTTTGAGATAGGGCGTTTTCGAAGTGCGGGCAGTCGATATACACCCCTATGCAGTAATTTCGAAATTCGTAGGCCATCTTCGAAAGTCGTAATGTTGGTATGCCTGAATCCGACGTAGCTGTCATTTTTATTTATTTGTCGGAAATTTTGTACGAATAGCAACTCGTGTCGGAGCGAAAAATTTTTTTAAAATATCAATAAAACGAAGTGTGTGTGTGTTTGTAAACATTTAATAATAATTTTTTTTTCTATTCACACTTCAACTAACATACATATTTTTGCGTTTAAAAATATGTATGTTAGTTGAAGTGTGAATAGAAAAAAAATTATTATTAAATGTTTACAAAATTAACAGATCGAAGATCATTTCGCATGAGCGAAAGGCCGGACATTGGTCTAGGCTTTGTAAAAGGACCTAAAGAGGATGTGGTGGAATTTTGCGAAAGCGTTTCAAGAATTAAAGCGGTACAATATCTAGTGAAATGGAGGCCCTTAAAAGGAGGGAGCTTACATTTGATCATTTAAGCTAAATGGATCAGAACAATCTCCTAGCAATCTCCTTTGTATATTAATGCAACTGTTAGCTGTTCTTCCTCCTGGGAAAAAAGTGCACCGGCTACTGAAACCTTTGTATTCTACTTAACTAAGGAAAAGTATTTTCAAATAATGATTAAACTAAGTTTTTTTTTAATTTCACTATTCACTTGCGATTATATTTATTTTGATTTGTTTCTGTCAAATAGGGATACATCGACACAAGTAAATCCAAGTACATACTCGATACTTTTCTCAATTCACCAAGTACTCGATACTTTTTACTGCGATCCAAGTAGGTATCGAAAAAAAAAGTACTTGTATCGGAAGCGCAAAACTTATTATGCTTCAACATCTTTTTTGAAAAGCAATCCATTTGAGGAATGGGAAGATATGCGCACTACATTTCCGCAGCTATATAAGCACGCGCGTCTATACATAACGGTTGTTGGGTCATCTGTTCCTTGCTAGAGGCTTTTCTAAAAAACAGGTACAACTATCAGACATGCTCTAAAATTCGAAAATTTGAAATCGACTCGATTTCGATAATTTTCTCGATGGTTTTTAACCCAACAATTTACAAGTCTCGCATTAAAATGATTTATTTCATATCGCTGCTGCTTCTTTTACGGTTTCCAATTAGAATATTCAGTATTTTCATCAGCTATAATTAAAAAGCATTTGGAAAATCGAGTCGAGTTCAAAGTTTCGAATTTCAGAACATGCCCGTATATCAAAATCTCGCCTTTCAGGAAATGATTAGGAAAAGTTGATTTTTTTGGGAAAATATAACAAAAAAGGAGTTATTTTATCAAACTTATTTTATATGAAAAACCTTTATCTATTAATCTGGTAAAAATGTATTCTATTGTTTTGGTATGAAAAAATATTAGAAGATAAATAATCTTCTAAAAATGCAAATTTTTTCTGAAAAAAATTCAATGACTTTAAAAAATTTGCAAAATCGTAGTTCTATGTGCAAGTACTCGATACCTTTCCGATACTGAGTAGGTATCGATACCTTGTACTCATTTCAGTAATACCTTGATGGTATCGATTTATCCCTACTGTCAAAGCAGCTGATTAAGAACTTCGAATTTCACTATTTTAGTTGGCAACGCCGTTGATAGTTCTGATCGGTTTACATATCAATTTTCGAATTTTCTGAACGGAGCTACGAATTCGAAACTACGAACTTTCGAATTACAGCATACGGGCGATAGTCCCTTTGAATATAGTATTTGTTTGAATTCTATTAATTTCTTTAATATATACTAGAATTTTGATGAAGCCATGATTCATTTTGACTGTTTGGGAATATTTGCCGATGAGATTTTTCTTTGGTCAGAATTTTATGTGAACAAAATTCTCTCATTCTTCATTTATTTTATTTTTAATATTTATATACCATTTTTATGGCCTTATTCATAAAAAATAAAGTAGCCTTATAAAAGGTTTATAAATCGAAAATGTTTGAAAACGTCAATTTATAAAGCTCTTTAAACCTACTTTATTTTTTATGAATAAGGCCATTAATCTAATATATATAAAATAATTGCCGTTTTCGTTGTGCCGAGCTAACTCAAAAGCTACTGCATAGATTTCAGTCAAATCTTCAGAGGTTATACCTTGCATATATGGTCCTATTATAGGCTACTACTAGAAAACTCACTAGGTGGCGCTGGGGTCGAGTTATTTATAAAATTGATTTAGTTCAAATTCAAAACGTGTGTTACCGCTGGAGTTGAGATATTTATAAAAGTCGTATTTATGCACCGCTTTCGTTCAAATTCAAAGTATGCGCTACCAGCATGATGAAAAAAGCATTTGCGAAAAGCGGACCGGATAAAAGCCCTTTTTATAAACCGATTTTGTTAATGCAAATTCGAAACTTTTATTACTTTCATGATGATTTTTTTTTCATCCGAAACATATATGTACATACATACATAAAATGATAGCCGTTTTCGTTGTTCGGACTAAACTCAAAAACCAGTCAAATT